TATAGCACAAGTCAGAAAGAGATAGGAAAGGACCTCTGTACAACCACCCCTTTTGTGGAGTAGTGTTTAAAGTGTCAGACTACTTCTGGGGACATCTGGGTTGAAATTCCCATTCAGCCATGAAGCTTACTATCCTGGGCTAGTTACTATCACCCTCAGCTACATCACAGGGTTGTTGTGAGGACAAAAATGTGGTAGAAGAACGGATAAATTTAACAGAAAACCTTGGAGAAGTAGGTTCAGCAGCCATGTGCAGACGTTTTATCTGTGTAATGACTGATCAGAAGGCAGGGTAAGATGAAGAGGAGGTCAGGATTAAGCCTACTAATCCTATCCCATACTACATTCAAGGGCTCATTGTCATAAGGGTCCTAAATGTCAACACTTCAATATATGTAGGCTCTGTATGTGTGATTGAAAACTTGCACTTCTTTTCAGGATACAAGTTGAACAATAAAAGCTAAATCAAATCATATAAAACCTCTGGGGTGACAAAATCTTGAGTGCAAGGGATGGAACCAAATGATGTGATCCCAACCCATCTCTCTTGCGTGTTGGTCAGACTAAACATGATCATGTTGATCTACATATGTCTATTCTCTAATTGGTAAGTTTTATTTTTACATATCAAAGTCAACACAATTAATACACAGTTTAAAGCCCTACTATAAAAAAAATAAATGACTCATTTTCCATAGCGTGGAATTCAACGATCTTTTACTCAGATTAGCCACGTTGAAATTAGTGGACCTAGCTTAGGCATGTTCACTAATTTCGATGGATTTACTTCGAATACATTATTGAATTCCATCCATTATGTATACTGCGTGCTACTGGTTTTTGTTCTCTAGTTGTCCAACATCTTAAATGCACTAAATAAAAGAAAACTTGAAGAGAGATCAAAATCAAAACCAGGACATGAAACAAAGTTATGATAATTAATGCAAAATTATGAAAGTGATATGTGCGTGTATCAGAGAGAGAGAGAAAAATATGTGCTTTCCCTTGCAAGGCTTAAAATTTCACAGATTATGAAAGCCTTATTTCTTGAATGTAAATTACGATTCACTGTAGGCGATGCAAATTCTGATGCCTTGATATGCTGTGGGAACACTGTTCAGCTCACAGGAGCCTCATCCATGTTTGTCTGCCAAAAAGTACAAAAGGGATATCAGTAGTGACAGGAGCAGTTCTGCTGCTGTTGCTGTCAGGAGGATATATTGGAAAATCCTGTGAGGAAGCTGCAAGTAGCTCAGCGCTATGAAAGCCGACAGCAGCTGAACATCTTATGTAGCAGGAAATAAAAGTAATAAAAAATGCCCTAGTTTATAAAACTATGCAGTTGCATCTGAGCGGATGAATAAAAAACAGTGGGGAATGTCACCAGCAAAAAGGTGATCTGAGACTGGACATCACCAGGGCAGCCAGGTCACTCTGGTGACTAGCTGTGGGACCCCTCCTAAAACGCGGCATTTCCCAGGCAGTGTCCATCCTCAAAGTGAGCCCTACTGATGAGACTGGTGAGACGTTTTTTCCTACACCATTCCCTTAAATAAAAAAGACAGAGGCCTGAATATGTTATCTACCACAGGGGTTCGGAAACCTTAACCTCTCTATCTGGCCCTTGCTACTCTCTCCAGGCCACATATCTTCTCCAGTTACATCCTTTCACCCCAGACCCCACCTTTCAATTAATTTGACATATTATGCCCCTGGCCCTACTCACCTTTTGGCTTGTGGTCCCTTGAAGGTTACTCAGAAGGAAATGTGGCCCTCAGGTTGTAAAGGTTCCCAACCCTTGATCTACTGGACTAGCAGTTAAATATTTATTGATGCCACCATGCTTTGCTTGTAAACTTATGGTTGGCCACTGCCAGAGACAGAAGGCTGAAGCAGATCCAACAGTTTTTATGATCGGGATTGCATGCGGCAACCACCCCGCCAACATAAGGCCGCCATCTTAAGTGTCTTGAGTTTCAAGCCCTGAACACTCTAACAGCTCAGGAGCTTCAAGCCCTTTCATCCATTCAGTTTTGGCATCTGAAGACTTAAGGTGGGCATTAGAAAAATGGATGTCTTGGTTCTACAGGCTGTAGACAATCAGGGATAACCAACATGGTGCCCTATCTCCATATATTGTTGGACTACAACTCCCATCATCCCTGACCATTGGCCAAGCTGATGCATCACATTAGTAATTAAGTGAGATACCTTTTCACATTCTGGATCTTTTCCACTCTCCAGTTTGAGAAACCTTAAGTTTGGAGCTACTCTTCCAAGCTCCAGGGCCTTTGGCTACCTGTTTTCCAATTCCAATCCTCATCTCCTGCTACTACGTCTTGTCTTACAGCTTTACTCCACCTTTACCCTGGGCTGTCTAATACTCTTGGAATGTCCATCCCACACCTTACTGCCCATCTAGATTTCATGCTACAGTTCTTTCTCTGGTACAATATTCAGCCACACTTCGGCTTTTAGCCCAGTTAATTGACTAGGAGTGCCACCCTAGGCTGCAGATTTTCTTGGGCATCAATGTATAAACATTCTTTCTACAGTGGTACCTCAGGTTAAGTACTTAATTCATTCCGGAGGTTCGTTCTTAACCTGAAACTGTTCTTAACCTGAAGCACCACTTTAGCTAATGGGGCCTCCTGCTGCCGCCGCACCGCCAGAGCACGATTTCTGTTCTCATCCTGAAGCAAAGTTATTAACCCAAGGTACTATCGTATTTTTTGCACCATAACACTCACTTTTTTCCTCCTAGAAAATAAGGGGAAATGTCTGTGCGTGTTATGGAGAGAATGCCTACGGGTGGCATGCCTACGGATTTTCCTCCTGTAAAAACTACGTGCGTGTTATGGTCGGGTGCATGTTATAGAGCGAAAAATATGGTAATTCTGGGTTAGCGGAGTCTGTAACCTGAAGCATATGTAACCCGAGGTACCACTGTATTTTCATTGTCCTTTTCGTTACAATACACATTTTTTGGTAATGTTATGGAGCCTCTTAAACATGACATAGTTTAGGGACTCAGCATGTTTTAATCTTTCCCTGTGGTCAGGGTCCATTGGCAGCACTCAATTCTGGTGGTAGCCCTGCATGTGAAATTCAGTGGGATTCTCTGAGGGAGAGTTAGCTTCTGATTTCACAAATATGGGGTGTGAAGGGCAGGGGTGATTGTTTCATTTTTGAAAGCTGGCAACATTTCAAAAAAGGAAGTTTAGTTTTTTTATCATTTGCTAAAAACAAATGATTGATTCAATCTTAGTCAAAGATCAATTAGATTTGCCTATGGCTGCCTTCGCTTCCTGTAATCCAGCTAGGAATTGGCAGTATTATCAACAATGTAAATGTATTCCTAAATCTATATTTGCAAAGAGTTTTATGACTAGGGTTACTGGTTCCTTTATATTTTCTGATCATTTAATTAAGATGTAAAACCTGCACTACAATTTAAAATGGTTTGCTTCTACTTTGCATTCAACACTGTCAAAATCTAATATAATTTTTTGATGATACTAATAGTTTGTCTTCTGGTTTCTTGTTTAATCCTGCTATCTTCTGTATGCTTTTTTCTTAAGGCCATTCTACTAGTTTTAAATGGTTATGAGCCTCTTCAATATAACAAAATAAATATGGGCGCTTTTATACATGACATTAAAAAGCCATTCAAGCTTCTTCCCTGCCATTTGACTCATATGTAAATATTGTTAATATGGAATATGAAGCATAAGGTAGCATTTTTAAAATCCGTTACATTATGATTATGACAAATGTAGTTTTTACATTCATATAATATGCCTGTTTGGACTTATTCATTTAGTATATCCCCTTAGACGATATATGTTGTTTATTTCACATATGTAGATTCCATCTGTCCTCCAGTGTGAGTGACAATACATTATCACATCTAGCGATAATACTTTGGTACCAGAGATTTTCTCTCAGCACTTAATACTGCTGTACCTAAGTGTAAAAACGTACAAGTGTAAAAACGTACAAAGCTTAGCTAGGAAAATTTGAATTTTTCAAGTTATGTACAAACACATACCAGACACCAAGGACACAACTGGATATGTATTTCCAGGGGGTGTTTTGGAGATCAGAAGAAAATGAAATACAAAAGCGACAACAACTACTTCCTGAAAGGGAATAGCTACCATGACCAAGACTGTGTTGGTGGCAATTCAAACATTGTGGCACTGGCAACCTAGTTAACACACCAAGTGCAAACAAACACTCACAATCTCAATTCAAAACCACAAATGACTGGATTGAATTGCCCTGCAAGGCACTTTAGAAATAATACCAGATTTACAGCTCACTCCTAATCATGGCCACATCCACATCATATATTTAAAGCACTATGACCAGTGCTTTTTTTCTGGGGGGATGCTGGGACACGAATACCCCTAAACATTTTGTGAATCTTTGTCCTTTCGCTGTATTTATTTGAACTATCAAATTGTGATTTTCCTGAGTCAAAATGAGAGTACCCCTGAACATTTTTTTTTAGAGGAAAAAGTACTGACTATGGCACCAGAGTCATAGCTTTCCCCCCAGAAAAAGACTTCTGGAAGCTGTAGTTTGCCAGAGGTGCAGAGAGTGGTTTATGAGACACCCCCTGTTCTCCTCAGAAGAACTACAGTTCCCAAAATCCCCTATGGAGAGGACTTGCTCCCATAATTCTCTGGGGGAAGCCATGGCTCCTTACAGCGGTACCACGGCGCTTTAAACATATAGCGTGAATGTGGCCCGTGTCTACTCAGAAGCAAGCCCTACTGAGTTTCACTTCCAAGTAAGTGGGGTCAGAACTGCGGCCTTATTACGGCACCGCAGGAACCAGCCGCTGGGATAGGACGCTCCCCGACCCCCGCTGCTCTTCTCCTTCCCGTCGGGTTCGGCGAGCTTCCGCCTCAAGTGGCCCAGCAGCCAATCAGCACCTTCACCTGCCCCAAGCTTCGGTCCAATGGAAGGTTCCCTAGAGCCTTCTCCTTCGGCCCGCCCCTTCCGGCCCAATCGCACGCGGCGATTGGGGTTTCGAGCGAGGGTTTTGGCAAGGAAGGCGGCCAATCGGGGGAGGGGAAATAATCGGGCTCCGGGTCCTCCTCCTCCTCCTGCCCTGGTCCCGCCCCTTTCCTTCTCGCCTCATCCCCCGTTACCTTGGAACCTGCTGTAAATATCCCGGGACGCGCGAGATGGTGGCGGCGGCGCGGCCCCTTTAAGCTGAGCCTCGGCAACCGTCCGGCTCGTGCAAGGGGGTCGAGGAGGCAGGTAAAGCCGGGGCGGGCCGAGGGGCGGGAGGGGGCTGGCTGCGCCTGTTGCTCTTCGGATATATTATTACTCCCCTTCTTCTCCTCCTCCTCCTCCTAACTCCGAGTGTTGTCAAAAGGCAGCAGTGCAACAACAACAACAAAAGCAACAACGCAAAAAATCCCTATAAAACACCTACCTCCCTCTCTTCCTCTTTTGCCAAATGTTTCCCAAAGGCTTAAAGCACCTTAGTGCGAGTGGGCGCGAAATAAATCTTTTTGCAGTAGATGAAAGCAAAGGTTTCTGACTCAATTACACAGAAAGAGAGAGAGAGTATATATACTGCCTGGATTAGGCTGCAAAAATGAAGAAGAAAAGCTAAAAAGCAAGCCATAAGTCTTAACTCAAGTGCAAATTCTGGTGCTGAAAACTCACCCCATGACTCCTAACATGCTCATAGGCACCCTGCTCTTTGAATTCCAAGCTGCAGGTCGTTGATCTCTGGCTGGTAAAGCCTGAGGTCCTGGTAAAAAAAATAAAAATACAAAGTGTAGAACCAACAAGCCTGAGGACAACACACGTCTGCCCCCAGAACTTAACAGGTTTGTTGTAGTATATGTGCTTTCACAAACTATCAGATGTGGGATGAAGACAAATAAATATTTGGAAGTGCATCTGGTGAAGTGGGTGCCAGTCCTTATTTCCATAGTAAAGTTTGCTGGTCCTTAGGGTGCCTCTTTGTTTGCTGCCACAAACCAACACCTCCATCCCCTTTGGGAACTTGGAGATCTGTGGATAGTATTTTCATTTAATGAAGCAGGACTTCCTTCATAAGTAGACATGCATAGAATTGCACTGTTTATTTCTGATCTTGCATATATTAGGGCTGGGGGTTGAATCTCTTGTGTTTCATGGCCTCCTGTTCTCCACGTTTGCAACTCTTTTATCTCTATGTGTGTATATCCGCACAAGCCAACTGAGCATATAACACTTAATGCTTGGGCAGTGTTCACAAAATCCTATTTCTAGCTTATGAAAATTTTCACCGCAATAACAGTGCAGTACTATGCATGTTTATTCAGACGTAATTCCCACTGTGTTCAATAGGCATTACTCCCTTGTAAGTGCATTTAAGATTTTCAGGGGAAGACTGTTAGTTTTTAAGATAGCCTAAAATGCTTGGCTGTTTTCATTTAATCTCTGAACGTAAAACCTTTCTACCCCTGCCCACTCCACCCCCACCATTCCAAAACTAGAAGCTGTGGTAAACAAAACCTGCCTGTTTTCATAACTCTTTTTTTACTTTGTGGACAGGTCAATTAGGTACACCCGGTTCAGTACTCCAGAATACATAGAAGCTGTACATTTTTGCCGGCACAGTTATTTGAGGTCTGGTTACTTGTACTATTTTTTATATTCAGAAAATAATAGAGAGAAGATGTGTTAACCATTCATAGGCAGACATTTATGGCACCTGTGCTGCAATCCAAGCACATATGCTAAGGAGGAAGGCCAACTGAACACAGTGGCACATAATTCCAAGTAAACATGGATTGGATTCACTGGTATTGATGTAAGGAATTGTGCATTTAGATACTGCTATTTCAGAACTTTCTTGCTGAAGCATGTAACTAGATTCACAACTGTGGATTCTTTATATTGTTGACCATGATGCCATGAATCCCTTGTTTATTTACCATAAAGCAACGTATCTTCTTCTGTCAAATACTGTCAGATACTGGCCTGTATGTATACATATGTTGCAGAATACTAAAATACTTGTCAAACGTTAAAAAATAGATACATAGAATAAACATAAAATGAAACAAAAAGTTTTCAAGCATGTTCACCCAACAACAATAATAAAAAGGACAAATCCTATCTCACCTTTGGCCCTCCAGATGTCAGTGGGCTACAGTTCCTATTGTCCTTCACTGTTGGCTGTGTTGGCTGGGGTTCATGGAAGGTGGAGTCGGGCAGCATCTGGAGGGCTGCTGGCTCCCCACCCAAATTATTCCAGGAAAACACGGTCTTGTTCCCAGCTTGCATTCACCAGTGAGCTTTCTTCCATTATTTTTGTATGTGAGGTGTTTCTGCTTTGGTCACTCATATGCGCTCGCTGCCATTAGTGACTATTCGATGTGATGAAATAATTCTGCACCTCACTGCAAGAATTCTTTGTAATCCCTTGCTGTGCCATTCGTCCAATCCTCATACTGTTAAGCCAAGTTGAAGCCCCACTGAAATGCAGTGGTACCTCAGGTTACATACGCTTCAGGTTACAGACTCCGCTAACCCAGAAATATTACTTCAGAATAAGAACTTTGCTTCATGATGAGAACAGAAATCGTGCTCCGGCGGCACAAGGCCCCATTAGCGAAAGTGGTGCTTCAGGTTAAGAACAGTTTCAGGTTAAGAACGGACCTCCGGAACGAATTAAGTACTTAACCCGAGGTACCACTGTAAATGGAGTTTGCATTGGAGTAACAGTCTGAGAATTACAGTGTTACATCCGAAATCCTCAGCTGGGGAGGAGGCATTGATTTTTGATGGGTCAGAATTGCAGGCTGAGGCTGTGATTCTAAGCATACTTGTTAAGAAATAAGTTCAATTGAATGTAGTGGGAATTACTTTCAAGTAAACAGAGTAAAGCTACAAGTCAGCTTTGTTCATCATTGACATCCTGTACTGCAACATCCTTAAGGAAGAGACTTGGAGTGCCTCATGTTCTCTGTACCTGTGAACATGCATTAGAAAATGAAACCTATGAGGAAAATGGAGATATTAGTTTAATAAGGCCAAAAATAGCCCTTCGTGGCTTTTATTAACTATATTGTACTGTTGTTACTTCTATAGACTTAATTTCAGTACATGCATATTACTTGCAAGTAAGTCTGTAAATGACTGGAATTTTGAACAATGTTATCGAAATTGCCAAGGAAATGCAGATAACCTTGAGGATTTAACTTGCGTGTGCTGAAATTAAAATGACTTCATAATTAAATGAAAGTGTTCCATGATAGTTAAAGGCAATGGACCAAGAAGTTTCTTAATTATAAAAGTCCTCATACTTGCTGAAGTAACTCAAATTTCAAAGCAATTCATTAGCCTCTAAAATGAACAGTACTTCTTTAGGATGATGAAATTGCTTACAAGTTGGCAGGGTACCAAGCTGGGCAAAACTTGGCAGATAATATTCTGGATTTTAAACGGAAAATAAACCTGTTCCTAATTTATAAAATCCACAATTGTATTGAGTTGGCAAGGACCCTCAAAGACCCTTTTACTGATTTGACCATTTACACTCGTAAATCTGCCTATAACGCCACAGTTGTGTAACAGCAGTGTTTGTTTTGTTATGTGTTGCTGTTGGTTTTGGATTCTCTGCTCCTGTTTGTTCTGCAGTGCTCTTAAGCCTTAGGACTAGAAGGATACTTTGACAAAATATCACTTGGACTACTTTGTTAATAACTTCTCTTGAGACTAATTTCCTTGATGTTATATTTTTCTGTATGTTTCCCTTTGAAAAAATGTAGCAAAAATAGCAAAGTTATGTGGGAGCACAGCAGTGGATTGGAAATATGTATTTTCATCATAGCATTTTCTGTCAGCTGTAAGATTCTGACAGCTGGTGATTTTCTTTTTAACATTTAATTCTCGGTTCAGTTTAATTTCCACATTGGCCATATATGGTGTGTTTGTATGTATACATGTACAAATACATATACAGTCATCAGGGTAGCCAAAGTAGAATAATATGTCTGATCAAATAGTTCAGTAGGAAAATATGCATATATTAAATGCCCCCCAATATCAATCACTTTCTTTTCTACCTTTTGCATCTTGATTGCATCTTGATTTAGTCTTTCAGTTACACAGATCTTGCTGCCAGCATAATTTTCAAGCTAAAGATTGCATTTGTGACCCCACCCCCAAATTAAAATCAATCACAAGCTTAAGTAATAAGGAGAATGGGGAAATGCAAGATTGTCCTAGTACTATTGAAAACCTTTCCTTAGCTATCAGAATATTGTCATCTATATCTTTGTTTCCAAAGGCTTCTCCAGTCACAGGTGACATTTTATTTATTTATTTTTTGTTTCATTGATGCTACATTTAATGGTTCTTATTATTTTAATCATTTTCCGCCCTTTGAGTATGTTAATGTTGGGGAAAATACTAATCAATGTGTTTGAACTAAGAAGAGTACTTTTAAATTTGCTTGGAGATACTCATTGCCTATTTCTGTAGCCTCTCAAACTGCATTAGAAAATTCAGTTTAATTCATTATAATCTTACCATATCAGCTGAACAAGGCATACTGTATTTATATATAGGAGTGTGGATATTCATCTAATTAGATTAAAATGTGTTTCTCATATTGGAAAAAATGCTTCTTTTCAATGAAAACACCAATAACGTATTAAAACTAAAATCTCTGCCTATTCTTTTCTGCATAATATACTCACTGAGAAGGACATTCTAGTTTCTACCACTTTGTTTTCCCTAATAAGTGTTTCTTACCAAAATTCCACTGAAAAAGCACAGAGGTTGGACTAATCAAACTACATATTCTGGAGTAGTTCCAAGAACTTCAGTGGGATTTTAGTGATTAAATGGTTTCTGGATCACAGCCAGAATGTGTGGGAGGCTAGAAAGGTGACTCCTGCAGTTACAGGCTAGGGTCATGTGTAGCATGAGATGGTTCACATCTGTGGAAATGAATGGAACGCTAGTTAAGGAGTTCATAACAATAGGAACTTTGAATCCTCTTGCCCTAGGGAATGAAAATAAGCCCTTGAGGGTGAGTGACCCAGGAGCCACGTGGGAGATCCTACTTCTATCCAAAGGAATAAAGTTATGAAGAGAAAAGGATTCATAAAGTTATAGGTTCAGACAGCTGTAAGTATTTTGAGGTTGATTTCATTAGAAGACTCAGTGAAATTTTGTAGAATGGTTACTAAAATCATTAATAGGCTAGAGTTCCTTTCCTACAAACTTCTGAATCATTTTGTTCAAATGACAAAGTTTTTAAATAAGATCTTGAACAATATAGAGACATTTTTTTATCATCATCATCATTGTACCCCACCCATCTGACTGGGTTGCCCCAGGCACTCTGAGTGGCTTCCAGCATATACAAAAACATAATGAAACATTAAACATTAAAAAGCTTCCCTATACAGGGCTGCCTTCAGATGTCTTCTTTTTTTTTTTTAAATAATATTTATTAAAGTTTCAAAAGAAGAAAAATCACATTAATAAAAGAATTAACAATAAAAAAGAAAAATACAAGGTAGAAAAAAGAAAAAAACAGTTAAAAACAATTCCATCTTTTCATCACTTCTTTTACATTTACTTATTTCCTGGACCTCCTCATACCTCCCTCTTTTGTGTTCCAATTCAATTTGTTAATCCAACAATTCCTTTCCCTCCTTTTTAATCCTAATCTTTAATCTTGATATATTATAATTTTAAATTTTTACATATTAAGAACCAATTTTTCCATATTCTTTTGTACCTATACAGCTGGAAACCACTTAGCTTCAATCCAACATCATTCTAACATTCATTAATTTTGCAATATTTCTGTAAATAGTCTTTAAATTTCTTCCAATCTTCTTCCACCGACTCCTCTCCCTGGTCACGGATTCTGCCAGTCATTTCCGCCAATTCCATATAGTCCATCAGTTTCATCTGCCATTCCTCCAGTGTGGGTAAGTCTTGTGTCTTCCAATGCTTTGCTATAAGTATTCTTGCTGCTGTTGTAGCATACATAAAGAAAGTTCTGTCCTTTTTTGACACCGATTGGCCGACTATGCCCAGGAGAAAGGCCTCTGGTTTCTTCAAGAAGGTATATTTAAATACCTTTTTTTAGTTCATTATATATCATCTCCCAGAAAGCCTTAATCTTTGGGCACGTCCACCAAAGGTGAAAAAATGTACCTTCAGTTTCTTTACATTTCCAACATTTATTGTCAGGCACATGATAGATTTTTGCAAGCTTGACTGGGGTTATGTACCACCTGTATATCATTTTCATAATATTTTCTCTTAAGGCATTACATGCCGTAAATTTCATACCTGTGGTCCACACCTGTTCCCAGTCAGCCATCATTATGTTATGTCCAACATCTTGTGCCCATTTAATCATAGCAGATTTCACCGTTTCATCCTGAGTATTCCATTTCAACAGCAAGTTATACATCTTTGACAAAGTTTTAGTTTTGGGTTCTAACAATTCTGTTTCTAATTTTGATTTTTCCACCTGGAAGCCGATTTTCTTGTCCAAATTGTATGCCTCCATTATCTGATAATAATGAAGCCAGTCTCGCACTTTGTTTTTTAGTTTTTCAAAACTGCAGTTTCAATCTATCTCCATCTTGTTCCAAAATTTCCCAATATTTCGGCCATTTGACCTCCATATTGAGCTTTTTCAAGGCTTTCGCTTCCATCGGTGACAGCCACCTTGGGGTTTTATTTTCCAATAAATCCTTATAACTTATCCAAACATTAAACAATGCTTTCCTGACAATATGGTTTTTAAATGCTTTATGTGCTTTGACCTTATCGTACCACAGATATGCATGCCATCCAAATACATTGTTAAAACCTTCCAAATCCAAAATGTCAGTGTTTTCAAGAAGCAGCCATTCTTTCAACCAGCAAAAAGCTGCTGATTCATAATAAAGTTTGAGGTCTGGCAGGGCAAATCCACCTCTTTCCTTTGCATCTGTTAGTATTTTAAATTTTATTCTGGGCTTCTTGCCCTGCCAGACAAATCTAGAAATATCTCTCTGCCACCTCTTGAAACAGTCCATTTTGTCCACAATTTGCAATGTTTGAAACAAAAACAACATTCTAGGCAATACATTCATTTTAACCGCAGCAATACGGCCCAGCAGTGAAAGCTTCAAATTTGACCAAATTCCTAGATCTTTTTTCACTTCAGCCCAACATTTTTCATAATTATCTCAGATGTCTTCTAAAGGCTGTACAGTCTAGGTACTTACCTCCTTGACATCTGATGGGAGGGCATTCTACAGGCCCCACAGGAATTTAGGGCTGAATCAAGTTGGTGGATGAAGTAGAAGATTTTGAATTTGGGAGGGTTAATTTGTTTTTTAAATTTTGTGTTCTTTTGTTGTTGTAAGCCACTTTGAGACCTACATGGTGAAAAGCAAGGTAGATTTTTTAAAAAAAATAATGCATGGACATAGGAAGCTGCTTATAATGAATCAACCCCCTGCTCCATTTCTTCAGAGTTTAACACCTGAGCCTACCCTGGGAAATAATTATTTCACATAACGTTCTGGTCCACATGGCACATTAAACTATAGTTAATGTTTAACTACGGCCTAACGTGAAGGAGCAGAATGCTGATGCACACTGTACCAAAGTTCCCACTTTGCTCCTCCTCTTCCTCACCATGTTGTCCTGGGAGCTGCATCCCACAAGCCTGATGATGCCCAAACCCAGGCTCCTGGTGCTTTCCATGATCTTAGGCAGCTTTTTAAATGTATTAGACAAGTTTAGGAGAAATCAGGTGACAGCTGTTAGCCACAATAGCTAAATGAAGCCTCCATATGTTGGAAACACGCCTGGGAAGACCTCCAGCTTCCCAAGACTCCAGGGCATCTCTCCGGTGGTCACACTCTGGCTATAAATCTCCCTCAGTCCAGAGAGACCGGTGATAAGTGACCCCTCCCTCCTGAGAGGAGCACACTCATCTTCTGGCATCTCATAGCAGAAGAAAGAGTCAATCAGTAGCTCTAGTGTGGTGAGAGAGCCAATGTGGTATAGTGGTTAAGAGCGGTAGACTCGTAATCTGGTGAACCGGGTTCGTGTCTCCGCTCCTCCACATGCAGCTACTGGGTGACTTTGGGCTAGTCACACTTCTTTGAAGTCTCTCAGCCCCACTCACCTCAGAGTGTTTGTTGTGGGGGAGGAAGGGAAAGGAGAATGTTAGCCGCTTTGAGACTCCTTCGGGTACTGATAAAGCGGGATATCAAATCCAAACTCCTCCTCCTCCTCCTCTTCTTGTCCTTTAAACTACTTTATTTTACAGTCTATATACAGAGAATCCTTTAGCACGTCTGTGCTCTTTGAGCACCAGAACAGAACAGAAAAAACACTTTCAGAAGTGAAACTAACTTCCAACAGTACAGTGGAACCTCGGGTTACATATGCTTCAGGTTACATACGCTTCAGGTTACAGACTCCGCTAACCCAGAAATAGCACCTCGGGTTAAGACCTTTGCTTCAGGATGAGAACAGAAATCGTGCTCCGGCGGCACAGCGGCAGCAGGAGGACCCATTAGCTAAAGTGGTGCTTCAGGTTAAGAACAGTTTCAGGTTAAGAACGGACCTCCAGAATGAATTACGTTCTTAACCCGAGGTACCACTGTACTCCAACAGTACTCAGACTTCCTGTCTCACACTCTCTCAGATACTCACATGATATACACAAACATAGTGCCACTGCTGGAGCTGCACGGATGGATAAAAATCCTAACACCATATTCCAAGGTGCCATACACTGATAACATACAGGACAAAACCATCACCTGCAGGCCTGGCTTGTGATCTCTCTACAGATCACCGGCAATTGTAAGAAACAAATGCTTGATTTCAACCAGGTCTGGGGAACCTGTGGCCCTCCTGCTGCTGCTGGACTGGGGGTAGATGGGAATTGTAGTCCAGCAACGTATAGCAAGGTCCCAGCCCTGGTCTATATTCACCTTTTGTTGTTGTTGATAGGTTTGCTATTATAATGGTAGGGAAAGTATTCAAAATATAAAAATATCTGATTACCACAATCTTAAATAGTAGCTTATGTAGAGCTTGAAAATGTTTGATTATTCTGAAATCAAACCACCGTACTTTCAATTTTTATAAAATAATGGTTGATGAACAGATGGGTTCTTCTGCTCTGGTTTCCTTGTTTGTTTCCTTGTTTATTTAAACAATCCAGATACCATACCTTTTAAATTATTTTGTTTTCAAGTGATGTAATGCACTACTTCAAACACTTTTTAATTTTTTTTTGTCTCCTCTGCCATGTTACCAAGAATGTCAAAAGTGTACATATTTGACAGCAGCTTTTAATGAACAAGCCAAAACTGCACTTCTCTGATACACACATACACTAATTTCAGTGTTGGATGCAGAAATAGCTAGCTACTTTTTTGCAAATTATTTTATCTGTTATAAATATGTGTTTGTGGCAGGTGGGTTGTTGTTTTGTTGCTTTTGTTTTAACTATGTATTTGTGCTTTTACCTTGTATTTTTATCTTGTGAACCACCCTGAGATCTTACGATGAAGGGCAGTATTTAATTCTAATAAATAAATAAATTAAAAATAATTTATAAAAAGTTACAAAATGAAACGCTAAATCACTTCCATTCCCCTCTCTGAATTCAGAAACAAACATACATTCTGAACAAAACTACTGACTGCCAAAGGGAGAGGCGGCAACCCTCCTTCTGAATGTAGGGTAATGATGAATTGGCAAGCAGCCAGCCAGCACTTCCACTGTGACTCTGTGAGCCGTCCTCTGGCAAGATGAATATTCCTTGAGGAAAGGTCTTGAACATTATTTTTATTTAGAATGGGGGAGAGAGGAAGGAGTCTCGATTCTGGACCCAACAGAAAATCAGACAGTGATAAAAGCAGTAACTCTTACTATTCTGACGACGAGTCATCTCACAGCTCTGACCATTCACCAACGATAAGCACTCAGTCTACAAACGCTGGAGAAAAAAGCAGCAAATCACAGACTTTGAAAAGCCTCGCACATTACCAAGGTAAGTGGTAGGTAAAATACAATTTCTAAGCTAAACTGCAATCCTAAACATATGCGAAAGTAAAATAAGTTTTGCTGCACCTTTCCTTCTTGTGTAAGCATAGAAATTATATATATGACTGTAGGTCAAACAGTGCTCTATTATTTATAGTCTATTTTTTATATTATAGTTTTATAAAAAGTTGTTTTTATTTTTAATAAGAATGAAAAAGAAAAGAGTTTTCTGTCAGTGGGGGGGATTCTGTAGTTCCACAACTTCTAAATGAGCAATTGAAACCTAATTCTTCCCTTATTTTGCTGAGGCATTTGCTCAAAAGACTGACCCACTTGCTTCGCAGAGCTGTTCTGGCACCGTTCTCCTTCCTTTCCACTACACAGTTTTTGGTCTGACTTGCTCAGTTGTTGTGCTCTCTTGAGCAGCCAGCCTCTGACTGTGGCTGTGTAGAATCCATTTGGTGCTTCTCTGCTGTTGGAAGGTATCTGACGGGAGAACCGAGAGGGAGGCAATTTTTGGCGATTCCCTTCTCCCCTGCAATCCAACCCCGCTCGCCCAATATCTTCTCTAGAAAGTTGGAGGACTTTGGAGCAGATTTGGGGAGCTAAGTGCCGGGGGGGGGGGCTGGACGAATCTCTGAAAACTGCCTCCTTCACCCTCCATCAGTAGAGGCACAACAGTAGGATATTACCATATTACCCACTCTTGAGGTGATTTGCTGGGATCAAAACACCTTTAAAATAGATCTCCAGAAGTAATATTCAAAGTTTGCTAAACCAGTTTTGCTATACAGCTATCCTTTTCTCTGGAAATAGAGCTGAAATTATGTGTTTAATGTCTTAGAAGTGGTACAGAACTTTTGTTGCCTGTTACTAAGGGACATGCCTATAACATGCCTGCAAGGAGAGCTCTTGTGTGTCTTAGAAGTATGGCAGTGGGTTGTTGATTTTCATTGTAACACCAACATCATCTTTTGTTGCAGGCACTAAGCAAATTGCCTCTAAATATGCGCCCAGCAAAAGAGGGATCCGCTGGGGGTTTCGCTCCCAGAGCCTCAACAGGGAGTCTCCTGCCAAAGATATTAGCCTAGTTACAAAAAGAGTTCTTTCTGCCAGGTTGCTGAAAATCAACGAGCTCCGTAATGAGCTGACGGAACTGCATGTCAAGCTCGATGAGCTTCAGAAAGAGAACAGGGCGCTCAAGCGTCTTCAGTACAGGCACGAGAAAGCCCTGCATAAGTTTGAGGACACCGAAAACGAAATCTCTCAGCTCCTGGCACGGCACAGTGACGAGATGAGGATACTGAGGGAGCGCTTGAGACGATCTCAAGAAAGAGAACAAACGACGGAGCGGAAACTCCGGGCTTCGGAGGAGGAGCTGTACAAGGCCAAAAGCAACTTGCAAAAATTGAGAAGGCTTGCTGAAGACAGGCACCTCCCGGAACGCGATGAGCTGGCTAAGAAGCTGGCTTTAGCAGAAAACAGGCTGGATGACACTGAGAAGAGAATTAAGGTAGGGGACAGGAGACGACGACACTCAAACGACTTCTTATCATTCTTAATAAATTTCTCATTGTATAGGATTGCTTATATAGAAATAGCCAAGCCGTTGTTGGCAAAAGTATAGCAGGGAGTGGGGAAAAGAAATGCAATGTAGAAATACTGTATATACCCGAGTATAAGCCGAGGCACCTAATTTTACCACAAAAAAATTGGGAAAACTTGTTGACTCGAGTATAAGCTGGTTCACCACACCACAAACCTCTCCCTGCCCAGCCCCTCCTGTCCCCCTGCCTTCCTAGGGTGCTGCTGAGAGGCAGAGGCTGGTGGCGGCAGCGGCGGAGGAAGAACAAGCAGCCCGAAAGGGCTCCTTTTGGGCTGCTTGTTCCTCCTCCTCCACCTTTGCCACTGTCGGAAATGCGCTTAGGTGGAACCCTCACTCGAGTATAAGCCAAGGGGGGCTTTTTCAACATAAAAATGTGCTGAAAAAGTCGGCTTATATACATGAGTATATATGGTAAATATAGTAAATGCTAATTTCACCAATAATTATGCTCCACCAATCATTAATGCTGTTGTTATTCACAACATCTTGAAATCTCAACGACTGCATTCCTATATGTACTTACCTGGGAATAATATTCCGGTGTATTCAGTGGGATTTACTTCTAAATATAAATCAATAAAGTAAGTAAGTAGGTATGTATAGGACTGCATAATAGATAAAGGGAACCTCTTTATCCATCTTTCCATTTTATTTACTGGGTTGGATCGTAAGATCCTGTGAGCAGAGCTCCCCTCATGCTGTGACTCACCCATTGCTTGCTACTAGAAGACAGAGAGGCATTTTTTTTTTGCCAGTTGTCCATCTCCCCCATCCTTGTGTCCTCTTGCCCCCCCCCCCAAAAAAAACTTTCTCTGGGTTTGGAGTCCTCTGGAACACCATGAAGGATGGGCAGCTGGCTAAAATTGCCTCCCCACCTTCCCTCTGTAGATCCCTCTACTGAATCAAAGGTCCCTTCCATTCATGAAAGTGCCCCTTCGATGAACAGAATGGCACCTTTGGATCTGACCTTAGTTGTTGAATTAAAGATTTAAACAAAGTATAATTTTACAAAAGCTTAATTAATGGGATGAACAAAGTCTTTGAAGATATGTTGGTTTCCTGCTGCTGCTTTTTATGAAGCTGTTTATGATGATGATTAAATTACTGTTGATAGTTTGTTTCATTTCATTGTCAGGATTTTTTCCCTTTTGTTCTATATTTTTATGCATAAGCTGCCTTGAGTTTGATTTTTCTCATAGGAAAGCAGGATGAAAATGTCGAGATAAATAAAATATAAGTAAAATGAAATAACATACCAATTTGTAAAATAAGTAGGCAAGATTCCTTGCACCACCATGAAGATTGGTGTTGAGGAAGGTCCTGTGCCCAAGGGTTGACAACCAAGAACCTGTCACAGTGGCACCCCTCTCTCGTTAAATAATTATTTCATGTTGTCCAAGTTTGGAAAATTAACAGACATTTGGAGAAATTGATATTTCTGATATATTCAATCGTAGGACTTGGAGAAGAACCTTGACCTCAGTAATAGTAGTTTCCAAAGACAGTTGCATTCTGAGAAAAAGAAATTATGTGATGCCCAAGAAGAAAATAAAGTTCTCCAAGAGGAAGTCCAACGGCTAGGTCAAAAATTAAAGGTAAAAACTGCAACTTTTCTTGAATAGAACAGCCTTAGCACATGATTTTCCAGGACCAAGATAGACCCACTGGTGGCCCAGGAGTTGCATCGGGACTGCACCATGGTAGTATTTTGAGCTTTAACCAAATGGATGGCATGGTTATGCATTTGAATAATGTGATATATATTCCAAAACACCCCACAGCACAGAATATGCCTGTACAGGCGAAGTTAGTTTTTTCAAGGACTCCACAGTAATGGCAGTCTAAATGAGCTGCAGTTGGTTGTAGTGAATCTGCCTGGGCACTCCAGTGGGTGTCGGACACAGACTGGGGACTACAGCTAAAGAGATTATAAAGTTGCTGTACTGTGCTAAAAAGAAAAAGTCACTGCTTCGGAGCATTGCTCAGCAGCATGCATTCTACCCAAGCACATGGAGAAAAGCTATTCCACAGAAGTGTTTGTGTGTCATTATGCACCCTGCTCATGTGACTTCCATTGTCATAACTGTGACTGCAGCATTCATGAACAGGATTTGAGTGTTTCTCAAGTGTTGAGTGAATAAGTTTGCAGTGGCAACTCCTGTTAGGGGGCTGCAGTGAGTGAATTCCTAAAAGCATTCTTGTCTTTCATAGTTGTATGTTTCTTCATTGAAGCAAACATATTGCAAGATGAATGTTGTCGTTTCAACATGGCTTGGATCAGGAGTTGCATCAACAATAATACTTTGGCTAGTGCTACATAAATAAAATTATGTAAAATAAAATAAGAATAATATTATTATTATTACTGAATGCTCTCCCATCAGATGTCAAGGAGACAAGTAGCTATACTACCTTTAGAAGACATCTGAAGGCAGCCCTGTATGGGGACGTTTTAATGTTTAATGTTTTGTTACGCTTTTATATATGTTGGAAGCCACCCAGAGTGGCTAGGGCAACCCAAACAGTTGGGTAGGGTACAAATTGTTGTTGCTGTATTGTCCTTTATAGGCAAATTTGCTCATTTTACACCTCCAGTTGTGTCTTCATTGTATGTCAGGAGGTAAAGCCCATTGTAAAGCAAGACTTGCAAAATAATTGTTATAGACGCTGAAAAGCAAATCTTTTTAGTACATAACTTTTTTGAAGATCGTATCTAGAAATTCTGTAAAACAAGGAAAGTGAAAAAGTGTTTCTGATTAGCCTTTTGACAATTCACATTTTTTTATTAGGAAAAAGAAAGAGAACTGGATGCAAAAAATATATATGCTAATCGGATGTTAAAAGTTTCACCCAAAAAAGATGTTGATTCTGCACCAAGGAAAAAAGGTAAACGCTTTCTGGAAAGTTTTATAAGCAAATCTATTGGACAAGCTGAGTTTCAGGGGTCATATAAGTCAATAATGATCAACGCCTCCAGTATTTCTGGAATTTTGACCCCACAATTTATCCTTTCAATGTTTAGGTTTTTTTTTTAATCAAAATGATATTTATCCTGAAGTGGCACAATTAAAAATTCAATGAATGTCATTGTATGGCAAGAATATACTTAAAAGAAGAATGAAGTCTAGTGTGGTAATGAATGAGATGGGCTGACACATCAAGAGGTTTGAGTTTTGAATACATTGGTTTTGATAGGGAATGAAAACTAGCCTCCAAAGATATGTAACTTTTCCCCTTTATAGCTCCAAATTCCATTATACATTTTCTAATATGTGGGCTTTGAGTTGTATCCAGTGGTGTTGCTCAGCTAAGGCTTCCATCAGTGAAACAGCGAGAGCACCAACTTTTGGTGATTCCTCCTTCTCCCTGCAAAACCCTTCATCTGCCCTGGAGGGTCCCCCAACACTCTACAGCAGATTTTTGGGAGAGGGGGGTGTACTTGAAAATTGCTCCCCTTATTCCACAGACAGACGGCTGACTATCAGGTTAGTACAGTTGTAACTTGGATCTCAAACGCCCTGGAACTTGGATGTTTTGGCTCCTAAACGCTGCAAACCTGGAAGTGAGTGTTCCAGTTTGTGAACGTTCTTTGGACCCAGATGTCTGACAGGGCTTCCGTGGCTTCCGATTGGCTGCAGGAGCTTCCTGCAGCCAATCAGAAGCTGCGCTTTGGTTTCCAAACGTTTTGGAAGTCGAACGGACTTCCGGAATGGATTCCGTTCTACTTCCAAGGTATGACTGTATATGTTTAAGACCTTCAGATGACTGAGGAAACACAGGCCTTCATGTTAGACTGTTTAAAATTAATCTATTTTAAAAGTGATGTGAATTGAGCATTCATCTATTTACAGCTTCTAATAAGAATACTAAACGAGAAGTACAGATAACTAAAGGAGTCCAGACTACTGGATGCTCTTCTCCAGTAGAATTTCCTCAACCACCAGACTTTATTTCTGATGGAATACCAGAGGAAAAGGAAGATGATGCACATCTCAGAATGGTGAGTTTAGCCCGCATTCTGCAAATCACTGTTCCCAGTGCAATAAGGATAAGTTCCTAAAGGGTGGTTGAAAATGAACCTTGTTATCCTTTGTACCTGGGGTGAAGGTAACGCAGACTGAAAGTATGAGTTTGTTAATGAGAGGACTCCCAAACAGTGTAAAGGACAAATTCAGGATTGGTCCAGTCTCCAGGGGTCACCTGCTAGTGGTGGACATGGCCAAAAGGAGCTGTGCCCTCTCATAGACATGCCCCACGCATACAGCTCAGAGCATACATTTTCCTTCACACACACGTAGGCACAGAGGCCTCTCTCTCATGCACATACCACACTCATCTCCATCCCATCACTGGGCTCAGAGAAGATGTTTAAACCTCTGCTCTCTGCCCAGCACTGAGCTGAAGAAGGAAGATTGGAGCTGGCTGACCACTTTAAAAGCCTTGTGCAGTGAGGGAGCTCATCCAGCCTGTGGGTTGTGCATTCAGCACCCTTACACTGATGGGGGAGAATAATAATAATTGAATGTTTGGATTAGATATAATCCTCTCCCTTGTTGCTGAAGAAATGCCCTGGAGTTCACAGGTTTTTGCCCCCCCCCCCCAACCCCCCACCCCCAAAAAACCATTTTCATGTGTGATCCAGATACTGAAAATGTTATCACTGCCTTCAGGATGTTGTACTGTGGGATGGAGGAGAACATGGGTGGAGAAGCAAAAGGGGATGGACAGAGTACACTGCATATTAGAAAACAGAAAAGGAAAGAGAGACTGTCCCATCTCTTTTTTTCCATAGGCTCTTAAGTGTACCATGTCAGTGTTTGAATTCTCCTTTCAAAACTGACTCCAGGAGCAATGAGCTGGAGCTGTTTTATGTTTTTAAAAAACCACTGCTGTATATTTTGATGCTACAGTGGTATATAAATATATAAATTAGTGTTGTGAGCACGTCCAGTGGTAAGTGAGTGGAGGATTTGCCCTGAAGAAACAGTAGGTTTGGGGAAAAGTTGAACAGTCTGTTTCTTCACTGTTTCCCCTGTGAGGTCTTTTATTTGTTTTGAGGATCAGGCTCTGTGCAGCTATGATATGATGCCAAAGTTTCCATTAGTGGAAATTAATATAATGCCATTGAATCGACTGGCTATAGCATATCCTTTTCCAAATATCTTTTAAAAAAAATAATCCTTCAGGCAGCATTCACCTAACCAGACCTGTCAACGGAAGCCCTGCACAAGGACTTCTGCTTGCTCAATGGGGCTTCTCCCCTCTCCTCCCTTGCTCCCGTGCCCTAAAAATTGGTTTTGCAAGGGCACACAAGGGAGGGGGTACTGTTTGATCAGGCACGCCTACACAGATGGAACAGCAGGAAGAATGTGATGTTATATTCCCCCCCTTCAATTCTATATTTAAAACTTCCTACAGGAACGGTCAATTAAAGACTGGAAAGAACAAACAGAACGCTTCAAGGAAGAGCAGAGCAGAGAAAGAGAGGAAAGACTGAAAAGTGATCAAGAACTGCAGGCATTGGAAGAGAGAGCCAAGAAACTAAGAGATGGTAAGAAAATGCACTTAAATTTGCAACCGGAGGCTGCCATCCTATCCACTTTTCACTTGGACATAAGGCTCTGTGAACTGAATAAGACTTACTGCTTACTCTGAGTAAACATGTACATGATTGCGCTTTCTTTTAGTAGGCAGGATATTAATTCATATGTGAAACACTTCTTGCTAGTAAGCATAGGAAATTTTATTTTTCTTGAAGAAAATAAAACGTGTGATTCTTAGTATTTATTGGCTGTGCTGCTTGTGAAAAAATTATGGGCTGTGTTCAAAATAGTCCTCTTTGCGGGCGGAACAACATACGCCATCCAGTGGGGCTTGTTTTTCCTCCCCCGCCCCCTGCATACCTTCCAAATCTGTTCTGATCTATTCTTTGAGGTAGATTTGTGGACAACACAGAGTACATACAAGGAGGAGGGAGCCCTATTTTACCAGCAGAAGTCATTCTGCTCACACATTTTTTTTAGCCCTGTTCCTTCTCAGATTATGCTGAGTTCTCATGTTCTGCATTTATTTAAAGGAGTGCAAAAAGGTAAATAAACATGCCATTAACATTTTGTTTTTTCATTTCATACAAGAGTTGTCCTTTGGAATTATATTTCCCTTTAGAAAGGGTAGTGTTAAGCTTCAATACAGGAAACTTGTGTTTTTTGTGCATTGTGGAGGGATATTTTTATCAACAGTGACAGGTGAGTTGTTTCAGTACCAACACAGTCTAGGTCACTGCATTTGTGGAACAATTTTGCTCCAGCTTTCAGTTTATGCGTGTACAATGCCACTGAAGTTAAACCTGAGAAATGTGTGCAGAACCAAGTGCAATTATTGGTTGTGGGAGGCTATCAGGCATGGTGAAGCCCACGTATGTTCCCCATACCTGCTGTGTCATGGCACATGGGCTCAAGCATGTTTAACTAAACATGGGGTTCCAACCTCACTGCACAATTCTCAAAAATCGACCAAAACTCCAGTAAAAAAGTAGAGCTGGGGGGGGGGGGTGAGCTTTATATGATGTTAAGTTTTCAAGTGGAAATAGTATTTCACCTGGTTCACAGACTACAGAGTAAATGGAGTTCTTTTGCATTTGGACTCTGAACTCTCATCAGCCCCAACCAGCATTGACAAAGGTCAGAGATGTTGGGAGTTGGAGTCCAACAATTTATGCAGGGCCACAGGCTCCTCATCCCGGAGTTGTAGGGATAGTTGTAGATCATTTGCAAAAGCTTGATGGTGACAACATTGTCAGGACTGGTCGTTGTCCTCTTCAGATCACCACACAAACGCTTCTTGTTCTTTTATAACTTTTTATTGTGTATTAACAAAATAATCTTATAAACAGTTCTTAACTATTATTCCTCAGAGTCACTTATTTCAGATACCTTCTGAGCTCTGCTTCTCCATGACCAGCCACCCTCAAAATGGCGAAGGCGCCTTTCCCTTCGTTTTCCCGCTCTTTTTTCTAACCTCCTGGCTAGAGCTGGCCTGTATCTCCCCTCCTCCGAATCTGAGCTAAAACTTAACCCTTGCCTTTCCTGTGAACAGCCGGTCCCTCCCTGATGTTCCTCTTGCTCCCTTCTATTAGATTCACTGCTCTCCCTCCCCCCTTGGGGAATGCTTTCTCCCTCTGATAAACTGGAAACTTCTAACTCTTCCCTGACAAACATCAGTCAACACTGAGCTTTATATAATTGTTTGAACTCAAAGGGGAATGGAATTCTGTAAAATAAGCAAGTACGCCTTGGGTTATTTAGAAACCAAGAATGTGTTTCATTGTAAGTCATTCACAAAGGTGACTTACATAATAATACATCATTCTAAGTCAATGTTGTTGATGCTTTAACCCACAGAATGGGAGAAGGAAGAATCTGAGAGAAAAAAGAGGGAAAATAGTCTTCTGCCGGAAAAAGAAGAAAAAGCAAAAATGGAGACAGACATATATAGTTTGGGAAATGGGATGCAAAATAATGAAAGCGAAGAAGAGGAAAGACGGAAGGCAATTCTGCTTTCTAAGATGTATGAAATTGACAAGGAAACGCAGATCAATATAAAAGTTACTTCACAGGAGCACACTTCGGAGACGGCAACTATACCATATTCCTTGGAAAAAAGTAAGAGGCCGTACCAGAGCTCAGAAGCAACTGAGAAATTATTCAATGGTTTTCTGGAATATGGCCAGCACAATACGGCTACGAAAGGAGAAATCCAGAAACAGCAAAATATAGAGACCACAAGCCCAAGCAGCAATTTGACATTTGGTTGCTATGTACCTTCTTTTGGGAAAGTATCAGGGAGGCCAAGTTGGGCTAATCAAAAAAGTGACTTCCTTGACGAACCCACTAAGGAAGACTTGGGTCTCCACACAAAGAGAGATAAAAAGGCCAACTTAATGGAGCAGCTGTTTGGAAGCGGTGCCAGCACCATCACTCCACCTAAGAAAAATGATTTGGGTACTTTCCGACAAGACAGCGGCCCAAACAATGGTTTCCAGGATAAAGGCTCTACGGTCAATGTAAAAGACGACGGCGATCTTTTCTTCAGTGAAGGGAAAAACTTCAATCCCAAAAGGCACCGACTGCAGCACACAGCAAGCAGACCAGCAGTGAAGGCTTTTGATTACTTGGAAGACGAGATTGAGGAAGTACTGTTGCAATGATTATATTCTGCAAAAGTCCATATGTGTAAAGAGTACATGTATTTAATGCGCTATTTATAGTTTTTAAAACTTTTCAGATATCGTTATAAATATGAAGTGACTGAAAATATATATGTGGGGGGAAATGGGATATGTAGCCTGATGTGTCATCAAGAACGCAGCTTTTTTATCTAGGGTGCCCTAAGCAATTGAAAGTGGTGACTGATATAGGTATACCAATCTGTTATATCTGTTGGGTTTCTTAGCACAATCCTACCCAGTCTATTCAGTATTCTCTGCCCGCCCACCTTCATAATAATCTCCCCATTTTCTCTAGATATTTTCCATCCTTCAGTTTTAAATGTACACAGCTTGGTGGCACAGTGAGTCAGGGTGCTTCTGCGTGACATCATTAGCAATACATTTTGCATGTGGCCACAAAAAGAAATAGCTGAAATTCCTTTCTCCCCCCCCCCCCCGCCCGCCAAAGTAATAAAGTAGTTTCCATCACTACTCTTCTTTAAATTGTTTCTCTAGGGCTACAAATGACTTTAACCAGTTCTGAGGGCAATTTTAATCCTCCCCCTGTACCATCAGGGAAGGGAGTCTCTGCTATGGTGAGTCTCCCAAGTAGTATAGTTTCAATACAGCAGAGGTTAAATGCAAACATTTTGTTGAACTAAGAAATGAGAACAATTCAAAGGAGACGGCATATTATGACTTTTCAACCCATCAGCTTGTTCATCTGGTCTTGCATAATAAGCCTAAATATTGAGAAAAGCAATACCGATGCTATTTTTCTTATAATAGAAGGGAATCTGATTTTGTCATTCAGTCAAATAGAATGTAGGACTTGATGGGACTCTAGATAATTTCGTAATTTCTCACCACCTGTTGGAATGCGTATGAGAAAATGGTTTAATGGTGAAGTGAAAAAGTGTTGCCACATTTTAGGTTAACCTAGCACTTGCTTAATTTGTCATCAGCCACACTCCGGCATATCACACCAATCCCATTAACAAGCCTTCTCTGTTGTAAATGGGCTGCAGATTGCAGCCATGAGCACAGTCCACTTAATGAAGTGGACTTGTCCGACACAACCTTGTGCAGTTGTTCTTAGTGGATTTATTAAATAATGCCTGATGTGATATCCAGTGGTGGCTGTCGGAGGATGGAAGAGAATTAGTCAATGGAACTGGAAGGAAGGCAATTATTTGCAGTCAACTTCTCTTGTACAGTACACAGCTCTCCTTCTAAATCTGTTCCAGGGCATCCTCCAACCCCCCTGGAGCAGACTTCAGGACGGCACTGAAAGGGGTACAAGTGACTGCTGAAAATTGCTTCTGTCCTCTTTCTAACAGATTCCTTTCCATCAGCAGGCGGTTAGCCTGCAACGCCATAATGGAAAATACTATAATATTTGAGCAAATAAATGGGATTTGTTTTAATACTTAGTTTTTGTTCACTTTCAAAACTTTAATGTTTATATGAGACTTATGAAGATCTAGTGCTATGGCTGGTAAAAATGTACATTTGGCTGTGTCACTTAGTTTTAATTTCAGTTCTTTGGTTGTGTAAAATGCTCCGATCATACTACTTATATGGAACATTTTGAATAGGAAGCAATCTAAAAACATCAGCAAAAGAATTGGTTAGCAGCAGTCCAGATCTCAACTTAAATACATCTGTTGGACTTGCACTATTGTCCAGCTAAAGCAACGCACCAACTTCACCTTTTGGGGCTGTTTTTATTTTGGCTATAGACAATTGTCCCAATCTAGAGAACATAGTTGAGTTGGGTCAGATCCACATAAAGTGCAAAAAGCTGTTGAGAGATGGAAAATAGCCTGTTCACTTTGGTGTGCATGTAGAACTCTGCCACCCTGAAGCTTTTGACCTCCTTAGGCCTGTCAGAGGCTTTATGAGCACTTGCAGTTGAGTCTCCTAGCGATGATAAGGAGGATGCTTCAGCCTCTGATGGCAACTGTTGAGTAGGAGAGAGGGACAGGGACTAAAACTAGGTGCCTCTGTGGCCCCGCTCCCCTTGCATGCATCCATCTAAACAGATAACTCAAGCTGTCAGTGACTTTGTTGGGGCAAGAGATATTGAGTAAGTGCTCACAGACAGACGAAAGGAATACTGGTGTTCTAGAATGAGGTTAAAGGCAATGCAAAGAAGAAAAACACTATCATTTGCTACAGAATCAAATTAGGAAACAATTCCACAGTGAGAAACAGTAACTGTCCATTTGGTTCATGGCTATTACGCTATGTAGCTACCAGTTGCCATTTTCGTTTTTGCTGGCTAACCTGGATTTTTAAAAGATGCCATCTTTGCTTGACGCAAGTCGTGGGTCCGTACAGCTCCAAAGTACCCTCCGGTTTTTGCCAATCTCCTCAGCTACTAGTTTAGTTGCCAGGATTTTTGAAACCTTGTGGGAAAGACCACAGCGGATTTTTGGGGCAGCGCAAATAGCTATTGTGGAGGTTTGATTTTAGTATTCTGCTCTGCAATATAGATGGAGCTTGACCATTTCAAAGTTTCCAGTCGGAATCTCAGCAGACGTTGTAAGTCCATCTTGACATTTGTTTGTGATCCGCCTGTGAGAGCTGGTGGGAACTTTTGACAAGTGTTTCGCTGTGGTCTTCCACGTGTCATCTGTTGGCACCCCCTTGTGCAGCAGCTTCAGGGTCCCAGCAGCTGACGTGTGGCCTGTAGCCTGGAGAGGGAGCTTCTTAGCACTGAAAACCTTTGCATTTCTAATGCAACACTAAAGGGCGATAATGTTTTTTCTTGTAATATAAAACAAAGCATTTTTATGATTCAGAAGAAAATAGTATGTATTTTAAAAGAATTGTTTTAGAGCTAATGCTATAAAAATATTACCATCTGTACTGATTTTTAATATCTATTTATTATGTAATGTTTAATTTGTTTTTATAACTTTATATTTTGTGTCAAAAGTTCTACCTTGGAACAATGCTTGGGTGTTTTTTTTAACAGAATGATTTATATTAAAATATTTCTGTGATGGGTTTGTGTAGATCATATCTGTTTCCAAAAAAAAAAAAAAGTGTTTAGACCTCTCCATACCTTTCCCACCTTATCCAAATCTTGGGATGGGTTACATTAAGACTTTACGTAATAACAGTCCTATGTGATCAGGATGAAACAATGTGGAACGCCAACATTCTACTTCCAACGCTGATGCCCTCCTGTACATTTCTGTCTCTGACATCTTTTAATTTTACTAATGAAACCATTTTTCACTGAAAGAGCATGTAAAGATTCCGTTCACCACGCATGGGATACCAATTAGTTGCAGAGGTATGCAAAGAATTGTGCTGCTGCACATGCATAAAATGCCAACATAGCATATCTCTCAAAAGTCAAAATTCTCACTTCTGAAATAGGCACGTGCCATATTTTGTTCGTTTTCTAATGGCTTATTCTAATTTACTTATTAGAAGAAAATATCCTTTCACTTTTACTGACCCCCTTTATTCCTAACACAAAGCTTCTAAGAGACACGGAACATAGAAACTTCCATTTTTCTCCAGACCAAATGTATCCTTCATCCAATAAAATTATTTCTTTCAGTCAGTAATAAAATCTGAGTGATATCTGTACAAAAAAAGCAAGCCGTCCTTCGGTACTATTGTCAGCTGGCTACTAGCATGTTGCTAGGATACACACAGTAGATTTGATTAACTGCAGTTTGCATGAGAAATCCATCCACATATTTGTTTTGCGTTAATATAACTCTCAATGGTACATATATTTAGAAAGAAGTAGGTATTTATATTGAGCTTTTTGGTTTTTTTAGCTTTACCATTTCCATATCTGATTTTTCTCAAAGCCTTTGCAAAATGAACGCTAACAGCAACTGTTGGCTCCGCCAGTTAAAATGTGCTTACTCTACCCTAGTTGTGGGAGAGTGGTACCCAAGTTATTCCAACGAGAAATGCGTCTGTGGGAAATCCTGCACTGGGAACAATCCATAAGAAAATCTCCTTCCCAATAAAGTTCAAACTGCTTCTAGCGGTGGACTAGACATTTGGCCTTGTATCTTCTGTCCTAAAAAAGGACAGTCCTTGCACATGTATCAGGACCTGCATGTACTAAGCAATGTGTGCAGATTCCAATAAGGGTTAACAGATCTTATTAAATGTTTCACAAAATCATGGGATTGTAGAGTTGGAAGGGACCCCGAATCTTTTGCCCATCATGGGGCTCGAACCCATGAGCCTGAGATTAAGAGTCTCATGCTCTACCAACTGAGCTATCCCAGCAGGATGGTGAGTTTTCTACACTGGTGCATTTGTGATTTGATTCAAAGACCTGTTTGATGTTCACTCTTCTTGAGGAGTTTCATTCCGTTTGGAGTGCAGATCCTAGAGGGTGGTGATGGGTGTCTTCTTGGAATCGTCATTTTCTTGGAATCGTCTTTTTGTTTATTGTTGGAGAAGGCTGACCTGTAAAGAGACAAACTCAAGCCTACAAATACATACTCAAGTGATTGCAGACTTGTTTTTCATAACAAAGATTAACAGGTGCAGCAGCTCAGTTAACCAGGCCTCATAACAAAGGGTGCAGTTGCAGAGTCACTTTTAACTACCACAACTCTATAAATGAATGGTTTGTTTAAATGACATCTTGGCAAAAAAAAAATTGATCACATATTCAAAGAGTATATGATTTTGAGGCACAATTTTATGCACCCTACTCTGGCATCAGAACTTTCCACCAACCGCCTCCCATTCTGTTAACTCATCAGAATTTCTGGTGACAAAAAATAAGTCGTTTGGGGAATAAAGCATTCCCTAAAAATGAATTAATTGCCAATGGCTGTGTGAAGTTCATCTTTCCTTTCTTTAAATAAATTGCAGATCTTACTAACTCTATGACCAGTTAAATGTTGAGGAGAGTCTGTTTCATTCCACCAACTTGAAATGATCTGGAATATTTTCCATAATGGTGTCTCTCTCTAGTTTCTAGCTTATGACTGTTATTTTCCTGGACAAGGAATTGGAATTGAAAAAGCTATTTAATGAACTGTAATCAAACAGAATTCCTTTAGAGGGCACTATTTTACTTCCATAGAGTTGTACGAAACTGCTGATATGAGTAAGATTTAGCCTGCATGGGTAGATATTTAGAGTATATGTAGTCTTAAAAAAAGAGAGAGCTTGGTTTCTAAAAATTGGGCATGCATTATGTCATGTCTCATGGACCTGTAGAAAATACAATTGCTAGTGGTCTATCAAATATTATGTCATTCATACATAGAGTTCTCACTTTTGCTAGGCTTCTTCCTTAGGGCTGATTCCCACTTCTTTGCCAGAGTGAAAAATGTCCACAATGCTCATTAAAACATTCATTATATTGCTCTTTAAAATATATCCAGTAATATTTGAGGCCCAGTCCATCTAGGGGGTGCTGCAGGGCATTGCAACTATGATGTATTGAATTAAGCAGAACAGAAGGCATGAGGCAGGGGGTGCTGAATTTTGGCCTTGCACAAGGTGCCGCTGAAATTTGAAATGCCAAAGTCCATCCCTGCACTAAAGAGTTATTTCAGAAAATGCATAGTTTCTCTTGGTACTATATGGAGCATCCCCTTGTCACCAAAGATTGCATGCTTAAGTCTTGCTCATCACATCATAGGCTCTCTTTGCAGATTGCTCAACTGCAAATAGTTGTTGTGGCCATCAAAACACACCAAGGTGGTGTTGCCAGTGACTTGGGCCATGAGACAGAAGTGTTCTTACAATTTAAAAAAAAAATCAGCTTCTTAGATATGGAAGAACTATTTAGACTTCCCACACGCACACTGAAAAATATAATTTCCAAATGTCAAAAAATAATTTGAGCAATAGATTAGGAAAAAATCTAACAGTGAGAGAAGGGTCCTAATGCCCTCCTATCTTTCTCCTTAGTGATTAGTTTTATGTGTGGAAGTTGACAAGATCTGAGGGATAAATACAGCCCCAGTGCCGATGTCTAAAATTGTCAAAAAAAAATTCCAAGCCTTCGTAGAGCTTGGCAGCTCTGTAGTTTTACATTCCAAAAACCGAACAGCAGCATCAAAACAGCATTATTTTGTCTTCGCCTTATCAACAACATCCTTTATATTTGGAAATTCCAATCGCTTTCCCAGATGCAAACTGGGTAAACATTTCCCCCTGGAAGCAGAATAATCGTAAGAGAAGAAAATGGGGCCAGGCTGAGAGAAGGCTCTGGTGCAAGAATTTTAACTAGGCTAAAATTTCAAACAATTCTCTGCCTCACTGGAGAAACTGAGAAGTCGGTCTCCATCTCCCACCCAGTATTCCGGCTCGTATGCCAAAGATGCCGTCACGTGTCTGCAGCCATCAGCTCTTAGCCATGCTGAAGAAAAAGTGTGAACCAAATGTGAGTTTTTCTGTGGCACGTGGGCATGCTGCCAAGATACTAATGAAGGCTCATTCCAAGGAGAATTGTCGGCCTTTTATTGTACTGTTTTTCAGTATTCCACCTACACAAAGGCTACAGCTCATTTGGTTCCATTCTGCTGTTGGGTATTGTAAGAAAAGAGAGTGGCGGCTCCCTTTGTGACATGACAAGACCCCTTCCGGCTTTAAAAACAAAACAAAACAAAAAACTCACCTGAACTTTGGGTTGAAAGCATCTTTCTGCTTTCAAATGTTAATCCATTTATTATCCTGAGCTCTTTAATGTCTCGCAAAGTATTCTTTAATTCAAGACGGGGGGGGGGGGGGGAGAGAACCTGCTGTTCCCGCTACATTTTCAGGAAACCCCACAGGACCTCAGGGGCAAAATACAGCTGAAGATGACACAAGCTTCTATACACCAGATTGGTCTGTTTGTTCATCTAGCTGGTACCCAGTTGGCATTGCCTCTCCAGAGTCTCAGGCAAACCCCCAGCAGATATAGCCAATGAAACTGCCTTATATTGAGTCAGACCATCTTGCTCAGTAGATTGACCATCAGTAGAAGAAGAGTTTGGATTTGATATCCCGCTTTATCACTACCTGAAGGAGTCTCAAAGCAGCTAACATTCTCCTTTCCCTTCCTCCCCCACAACAAACACTCTGTGCGGTGAGTGAGGCTGAGAGACTTCAGAGAAGTGTGACTAGCCCAAGGTCACCCAGCAGCTGCATGTGGAGGAGCGGGGAAGCGAACCTGGTTCACCAGATTACGAGTCTACCGCTCTTAACCACTACACCACACTGGCTCTTGTGCCTCTCTAGGGTCACAGGCATGGTTCTCAAACCTACTTGGAGATGCCAGGGATTGAACCCAAGACATTCTACATGCAGAGCAGATGATCTGCCACTTCTCTTGACTTCTGGCTTTGGAGCCCTACCAATAAAAGCATCTGCACCGACGGCAGAAAAGCACGGTGATTCTGTTCTGTTTGCCTAACTGCACTTTAAGTTGCCCTTTTTCTTTATAGGGATTGGGAAGCAATTCCATTCTGACACATGGATCTACTGCTCTCCCATGTAGCCTGACCATAAATGATGTCAACCATTCCCACCCCCACCCCCTGCATTAGAAAATGCCATTTCTTTTCTAGAGATGTAATTGAAAACAGATGATTGGGGATCCAATTTTGGTTTGACATTTTTAACCAAAGAGTTCAGGTCCCATCACGAAAAATTCTCAGAATAGCAACTTGTGTTTTGTTTAATGGTTTATAGGAGCCATATCTGAAGGAGCTAGGATTGCAAGTCATGTGGTAAAAATGAGATTTAACTGAGATTCTACCAGCTGGAATGTCAGATCAGATCCAGTAGTAAGTTGTGTTTGTGGTGTGATTCATCCTACACCCCATGTAAGCTTTTTTGGTAACCATTGTTTCTTGTTCTGAAAGCTGTCTAAACACTCCTTCTGCTTCTTGATACAAAATTGCTATAGTGAATGTCTAAAAGTGTCCTAATAGAATTGTATTCCCACCACTTTTTCTAGACGTTTTAAAGAAGTGTGTGGCGCAACAGCTTCTGTGGAACATTATCCTGATTTCC